CACTCTTTCTTGTATTTTCTCTTTTGGATCTTGTGAAATTTCTAAGCTTAGCTAAGCCTGAAATTTCTGATAAATAGTATACCAACTTCAAGGTTCAGATCCTCTTTCATATATATTGTTTCTCTAAGCTTATTCTCTCTCTAATGGGTTAGGAGTTAAAACAATGTTTTGCATTCTTTTCAATTTGCTATCTTATGGTGAATTTCACCCAATAATAATAAGAAACTTGTTGAAGTGAGCATATTACTAGCATTGCTCATAAAACTTTTCCCTCTTGCATTACTGTAACACACATTTCTTAGAGAGGGGCGAGAGTGAACATCAGTCCCTCCATTTTTTATTTTTTATTTTTTAAATTATGCATGCAGATTCCAATGATCTAACGAGAAAATGACATAAATGATAGCTGATGGGTTAATAATTGGTCTGCCATTTGATCTCCTGGCTCACTAGTCTAATATGCTTTGCATTTGATTTCTGTATCCAAGCTTCCCATTGTTATCCTCTAAATTAGTAATAAGGAAAAGAGATTCAAAACATATAGATGCATGTTTAAGTTACTGTCTCTGTAATTCAAAATAGTTATTTGCATGTCTAATGTAACAAATTCCATAAGAAATAAAATGAATCATTCACATGTCAGTAAACTGAATAGTGTTTTTTTTTTTTTTTTTTTTTTTTTTTTAATTTTATACATTTTCAGGTCTAGCATGGGAAACAACCTTAACCGTGAAAGAGAAGGGCATGGCTTGCCTAAAGTTTCATCACTTGTTCAACATATATCATCAAATGAAGTAGCCAACTTTGACACTGTTGACGTGAAAAATCTCAGCTCATCTTTCAAAGTAAGCCTCTTTATCATAATAGTGAGTTTGCAAAATTGAAAATATTGGTCGAAAATAAACTTCCAGTGATTAGTTATCCCTTTGATGAAACTACATAAAACTATTATACAATAACAACCTCCGTTTTGGTGATTATAATTTATGATATCTGTTTCCCGTAACAGGAAAATGAAACAGTCTTAGCAGGAAGCCAAGGTGATGAACATGGGGCCATAAATCATCAAAATAAGCATTCGGTGTCTATAAACATGCCATTCTCTCGAGAAGAAGTTCAGCAAGATAACACCATAAGAGTTCTCTATAGTGCCGAAACTACAGGCTCCAAACCACCATTGCCATCACAATCAATGCCAAATGACAGTATCAATCTTACCAATCATGAAAGCACCGACAGCTTAAAGGATAAGAGGCTTGAGTTTTTCGAAACATGGTCCAGTAAACTTGAGGGACAATTGTCAATTCTACATGGAAGGGTACCAAAACAAAATGTAGAAGAGGATAACAGCTTAGACAAAACTAAAATGCCTTTAACTGTTGATTTGTTCTTCAAAGCATCGGAAGGTCCACAATTACTAACTCCTAAGGTATGTGATTACTTATTACCATCTACTAATTTAAGTGCAGTCTCATTCTTCTTGTGTAACAAATAATCCATATCCCAGAAGTCTTATGTTCAAATAAGTTAAACAATGTTTAATATATTTTGATTTGATTTGATTGACACCTTCAGAAATCTTCAGAAGAGAAGGTGCTACCTGAGGACAAGAAGTGGCCATTTCTTCTTCGGTTTCCCGTTTCATCTTTTGGTATTTGTCTTGGAGTTAGCAGCCAAGCAATTCTTTGGAAAACATTGGCCGAGTCACCTTCCACTGAATTTCTTCACATAAGCCTTAGAATAAATTTTACCCTATGGTTCATCTCTATTGCTCTTGTTGCCACTATTTTCACCATCTATCTCTTCAAAATAATTCTCTATTTTGAAGCAGTTCGTAGTGAGTACCATCATCCAGTTCGTGTTAACTTCTTCTTTGCCCCATGGATATCTCTCTTGTTCTTAGCTCTTGGAGTTCCACCATCACTTTCCAAAGACTTGCATCATGCAGTTTGGTATGCTCTAATGATTCCATTGTTCTGCCTTAAGCTCAAGATATATGGACAGTGGATGTTTGGGGGCCGAAGGATGCTCTCAAAGGTGGCAAATCCAACAAATTTCCTAGCAATTATTGGAAATTTTGTGGGGGCCTTGTTGGGAGCATCTATGGGCCTAAAAGAAGGGCCAATTTTCTTCTTTGCTATTGGGCTTGCTCACTACATGGTGCTATTTGTAACCCTCCACCAGATGCTTCCAACAAATAAAACCATCCCAAAAGACCTCCATCCAGTGTTCTTTCTTTTTGTGGCACCACCTAGTGTTGCTGCTACTGCATGGGCCAAGATTCAGGGTTCTTTCCATTATGAATCACGGATTTTCTATTTCGTAGCCATGTTCCTATATCTCTCGCTGGTAAGCTTTTGTCACCCTAGTATTTGAAAGACGCTTAACATATTAATATAGTTTATACAACCTTTTTTTCCTTGCACAATCAATAATTTTAGCATTCAAGTTGCTTATTAGTTTCATATGCTTTTGCAGGCTGTCCGGGTCAATCTCTTCAGAGGATTCAAGTATGCTACACTACACTTCTATATCTATAACATTTAATATTCCATTATGTTGATTTTTCTGACAAATATCATATGCTATTCTGCAGATTCTCACTTTCATGGTGGGCCTACACCTTTCCAATGACTGCTGCAGCAATTGCAACCATAGGCTACTCTAATCAAGTGACAAATGTTGTAACTCAAACTTTGAGTGTAATATTGAGTCTCATTTCTACATTCACAGTAACATCAGTGCTTGTCTCGACAATATTGCATGCCTTTGTCCTCCGAGACCTCTTTCCCAATGACCTTGCCATTGCCACTAGTGAGGGAAAGCAAAAACCACATAGGAAATGCTTCCCATTAGGATTTGGGAGCCATGGTCATGCCAAAAAGACTGAAAATAACTTGAAGTCTGTGGACTCGGATAGAAAGGATTTTGTTTAGAAGCTTATCCCACAACAGTAGACTCAAATAATTCATCATGTATCTGAATACTTAGAAGTCTCAAATGAGTAAGAAAATAATGAGGCAACCAACATCTTAATGACCTTAAGTGGTTAGACATGTGAGGGACATGAGTGAAAGTTTTAGATTTTTCTTGAGTAAACCCATTCTAATCCCTGACATTGTAAATGCTGATTATTTTAGCTCCTAATGTTAATAAATTTTGAACATAATTTAGTTCTTGCATATGAAGTGATTTCTCAATTTGGTTTATGTAAGTAAAAATTTAATAAATAAGTTCTTATACTTGTAACTAAAAACATTACGCTATTACGAATTTAGTTCTTATATGTATTAATCTCTTACACATTCTTAATTTGATTGTTGGAATGTATCGCATTTTTAATTTGATCTTTATATGAAAATTAAAATATGAAGGTTTATGTCAAATGAACAGAACAGAATCAGATTTATAGCAATGTCCTTTGCATATACGCTAGGGAAACATGCAAACCCATTGTGGTGTCCTAAGTCAAAAGTAATAATGCTACCAAAAGGAATATGATCGAAGAAAAGAGGAGTTTTTTCACACACTCTTCAAAATTAACATTTTAGGATTGCCTCATTTGATCTGACTCGAAGTCAGTAAATATGCATGTTTTCACAAATTTCTAGCTAGAAACCTTATGGTAATCGGTTTTACTGCGTTAGAGAAAATTTGTTCCGTTTATTCTCTTTTTGGAATTGGTGTTATGTTCATGCCTATGGAAATGCAGAAATATTTTAAAAAATTAACAAATAATCGGCTGCCAAAATGACAACAAATCAACACTAGTAAAATTGGATATCAGCTCTATTTACTTTAATTTATACAAGTAAATCTAGAAAAATGTCTCACTTGATAAAAAAGAACGTAAAGAATTTGAGCCAAATTTCATGTAAATCTCTATGTCAGTTAAAAATTCACATTCAAATCATCAAGTAGTCTTCCAATATAATATCTAATTAACCTGTATACCATTGTCTTCACAAATTCCAATATTGAACTAATCTCAAGTTGCTCATCCAACAGAAGTATTAATTTGGAGTATGAACCTTCAAATCATGTGTAATAACGTACTGTTCCTAGCTTGTCCTTTAGGAGATTCCTCTCCCAAGAGTTTGTCAGATGCCACTGACATTAAAACGAAGTTTTATATGTCAACAACTTATAGCGTGTTTGCATACACGTTTTCAACGTGGTTTTCCACGTTTAACGTGGAAGCTATTAGTAATAGCTTCCACGTTGAAAACGTGTATACAAACACGCTCTTAATGTTCATAAGCCACCTTACTCTTATCTAGGATTCACTCTAATACTAGGACCAAGGTGCAAACTAACTGATTATAAGATTTGTCATGAAATATAAAAGTTAAATTGATGTACCCAAAATTAATTTTTATGTCAGTGTTAATTGTTTATTTTGAAATATTATATAAATCATGTTCATGAACTAAAAAAATAATTTTTTTAATGAATTAAAAAAATGGCACTAATATTTTAGCCTATACAATACAAAAGGACATTTATTTATTTTATATAATTAAAGTTTAGAATAAATAAATATTTTTGAATTTTTAAAGTATGTTATAATTAAAATTCATAATAAATAACAACCTTTTTTAGTTTTTACTTTTGATCAAAAAGTTTTGTTCTTAAATAATACATTTTAAAAATTACTCACTCTAATTAAAAAAAAAAAAAAAAACTACCCACTCATAAATCTATATGGTTACCTATTTTCAAATCTTTTTTTTTTTACAACTATTTTAATACATTAAAATTATAAATATAGAGAAATACAAAATGTCTTCTTTCGCTACTAGTTAATATAATGTTTGCAGTTTATAACAAAAAAATATAATACTCACGTTTAAAATAGAAAAGGTGAATTTCCTAAAAGTTAAACCATAACTCAGCGTTTATAAGAGTTAAAATTTAATCTTTAATCATTTGAATTAAGCAGTAGGACCAACTCAAGTTGTTAGTTATTATTAATATGGGTTATATTATTACAATAGGTTCATAATATAAATATAATATTTATATTGATAATTCAATTTCTATTACATAAAGGTTATGCGTAGAGTGTAATAAATCCAACAGCACTAAATTGCTAATATTTTTTATTTTAGTAGTGGTGAGCTCCTTTGACTTCATAACGAACTATAGGAAGTCAGGTAAGTGATTCATGGGCCGAGCCTATTAGAGTGGTAAATGATCACTATTTAGATCCAATAATATCCACAAATCCAACTCCATAACCCAACAGGCTCCACCATTATATACTTTATTTTGGATGTTTTTGTGTGTGTTTGTTTTAGATTATTTAATTTTTATAGAACTGATTTTTGTTGAAATTGATCGGTACGAAGAATAAATTAATTTGTGTTTGAAAACTCTAATCTCAAAGACAGATTATAATAAATTAGCTAAGCTTCTTATTAATTTGTTCCTGATGGGTTGATAAAGAACTTATTAGTTGTTCAGGTAACCAATTACTTTTTAATATTAACCAAATTCAGATTAAATTATTTATATTTTTTCCAGTTCTTAAGAGACAGCTGTGATCGATCGTTGTCATGCTTGGCTATTTCAAATATTGAATGTTCCTGTCAACATGCTGGCATTAAGCAAGAAAAGAAAAGGAACATCTAAACCATTCTGGATATCATCATGTTTTGTTTCACAAGTGGTGCAAACTGTTATTGATACTACCTTCCATGGTTTCCTATTATTTTACCGATCAAGACCTAATTAGTTATGTGACCTTCCCACTACACAGCAAATAATTCCAGTTGCAGCCAATTGCAAATGCTAAATGATATATAAATATCTTAGAAAAGGGTGCAATAGCTTAAATGATTCCATTCCTTTCATGCACATTTTTTTAAATTAATACAAAAAGTGCCACGAAAACCTTCCATTACAAGAAAGGCAAACTCCAAAGCTTACAATCTTGTGTCCATTTCTATTCTTTTCTACAACGAAGATGATGTATAATAAAACCAAATCACTAAAAAGCAAACCTGCCCAATGTCTCTGTGATTGAATCAAATCACGTGTTATATATATAGATAGATAGAAACTATATTCATAATTCATGTCCAAAAGTTTGAATTTGAAATTATGACAGTTAATTCATAAGTCCATGCATGCATAAATCAAAGGGTGCAACTCCGATAATTTAGTAAAGTGGGTGAATTGTTATAAATTTTCTTGGTACTAATTTCGATTCTCATTAATTAAATAAATAAATAATACATTTTTGCATATATTAATTGTGTAAATCATATTTTTTTTTGTCTAGATTAGAAAGATAATTCTGTTAAAATCAAATAAACTATTATCATCCTTAAAATATGGTATTTTATGAGTGTATTCCTTTTTCTGTTGTCTAAAATATGATAAACATTAACTTGGAGAACCATATCCATATCCCTTGAAAGTTGAAAGCTAGCTAGTTGGTAAAGGGAGATAATCAGATACTTAAATACTCCACAGAACATTCATACATACTTGATGTCAGTACTTCACAATACCCAACTCTCCTACATAGCACCGTCCCTAACACTTAACCTTTTTCTTCCATCACTCGCTGCGTTTCCTTCTTTCCTTTTTTATTTTTTTTGTTTAAGACTCTTCTCCAAATCAAAAATCAAAGACTAATCTTTCACAATAAAAATACTTATTTAAGAGGTAAATTTCTCTCTATATATGTTCTTTCTCACACATAAATCAAAGGATCAATCTTTTGATCACGTATTTTTTTTTATAAAAAAAAACATAACGATTCGTCAACATATATATAACATATATATGCTCTAACATAATATAATAAACCCCACACACACGGTAAGCTGAATGATTCTTCATTATATATATATATATATATATATATATATATATATATATATATTATTTCACATCACTTTCACATTTATACGTGCTAATTTTACTATTTATATTTGCATATAAAATTGACAATCATATTCATGGACTTTTATATGTTACTTATCTTTTATCTTATTTTTCTTTTCTATATTGGGTGTCTTTTATATTTACCTTATTTATCACATATTTTTTTAATTTTCTTTTTCCCCCTACTTTATATACTAAAAAAATGAAATGCACACATATCATTGTTCATATAAAATAGTCATGGCAATATATATATATATATATATTATTGCACATCATACTAATCCAAGAATTTATTGAGAAGACATTAGGCTGAATGATTGCTAAAATAATGAAGAAAAATATTAAAGCGTTGCTGGTCGGTGTCACTTGTTACTTTTTGTCTAGAATATATATCTGTGCTTGCTAGTTTTTGGATAATTGGTATCCTCTGAACTACGGAGTATGATATGATGGATAACTCGTCATAAATGCAAGTTTGTAAACTTGAAATATGTTTTCGGGGTTTCCTCGACTTGTCTGCTATCGTACATAGCATCTTGGTACTTCTTAATTACTCAAGAGTTTAATGATGAGATAATCTTAAAAGATCTTCATATCGTTAATTAATTAAAAATTACTTTAGATAACAATGATAGTGAGTATAGAAACCCCTATATTGCCTCATTCTTCAAAGTCACACCAAGGACGACCCTTTACTGCTAACTAGCAATTCTAGTGAAAAACTGATAAACTTTTTAAAAATATAGACGAAATGTGGAAGAGGGGTTGGAAGCAAATGGCAAAAGAGAGATATAGAGGGTTTTGGATTAAAGTTGAAGTTAAAAACTAGTGACAACTAATAACATTATTTTTTGTTAGAGACAATTCTATTATAATTTGATAAGATCGTTATAAGTGATAAAAGTTTTCTTATCTGAGTATAGTATAACTGCATACTTAGATTATAAACTTTTATTTAAGGTATGACTTATTTTCATCTCTAATCCAAACCTCTCATTAACTCCTAACTCCCAATTGTTTTTAACATCAACAATATATTTTTATATTTTATTATACATATATATATTTTTTCTTTATATTATATCGCATTACAAAGATTAAAAAAAAATGAAGATATGATACATGATACCTCACAACAATATGTTTAAATCATTTTTTAAGATTAAATATGCTTTATTTTATATAAATATAATGAATTTTGTTTTTAGTTTTTGTATTTCTTTCTAGTTTTTGATTTTTTGATAATGAACCAAAAAGTGTATTGAACCTAATTTTTATAAATATCAAGATTACATACATTGTTTTCAATGATGTGCAAATTTTGTGTGATGATTGAGATAAACATTAACATACGTATTCGAAGCTTTTGCAGATGAAAAGATTGCAAGCATGCGTCTCAAAATTGCTTTTCATATTTTAGTGCATGAAACGTTGGAGTTTCATTTCATACGGAAAATCAGTTTTATATGATGTGTTCAAACTCAACAAAAATTTAAAATAACAATATGCTTCAGCCATCATTTTGTAAAAAGAAATAACTCTGGTAAAAATCCTAGGGCTAACAGAGTTGAAAATTATGTACTAAAAAGTATCTTGTGCAGTGGATTATTAATATTGTAGAACAATAGACACATTCTTGTCTGAATTTGACGCCTTAGCTAGAATAATGTCGTCTTGTGTTTTTAGGAGCTTCTTGAAAATTAAGTGCGCTTATCCCTTTCTACAAGATCTATATGACTAATATTTAGCTAAAAGATTTTCTATTCGAACAAAGATGCTCCAAAATTACAAAAGTTCCAAAGGTTTTAATAAGATTAAGACATCATATCTTTGCTTCTTGCACTCTAAATTAAACTACCTTCACAAATTGTTCGACAAAGGTTTTATGTTGTGTTTTCTTCATTTGTAAGTTGAAACAAATAACTAGACTTCTCAATTATCCAAGCATCCTACCTTTCTTAATTTACTAGAAAATCGATTGTTTTCTCCTTTTCCTTTAATTCATATGCAGCTGATAAAAGAAAGTCCTCTTCCATGCTATGATAGATTGTATTCATAGAATGAACAAGAACAGTGTAGAGAAGGATATATAAACTGATCGGCATCATATATACATAATTTAGCACACGTTTCTAATTCCAAAATTATTGAAAGAAGTTTTATTTTACTAAAATAGGGAAGCAGATTCTTTTTTTCTTTTTTTTCCCCACAATTTGAGTGCAAAAAGCTTGACTAATGACTAACCACATCTCATTTCCCTATGACATTCCTTTATCATTTAGGCAGAGGAGAATAGGGACAGGATGAGTGGCTGATGATAATTTGGCTTCATGCATATTCATCTCACAGTCACATGTGACTATTATTCTTTCTCTTCCATTTTTCTCTTTTTTCTTTTTTCTTTTTAATTTAATTTGAATCTACTGACGTGTACTATTAGTGAACCATCAAATGCACCTACTGAAAAGATGGTTAAAAACTTCCACAAAAGCTTAGCAACAACAATAAAGTGCTATCTTTTTCCTTGGTATAAAGGTTTTACAGTGACAGTGGATCAAATTTAATCCCTTCTCATTTATCTTCATCTTCTCCTTCCCCTTTTGCAGCTTTCTTAACTCATTCTCTCTGCCATAAACAAAGTATTAAAATGTTAGAACTCCAAAGTTTTACCGAATTCTATGAAGGGAAAAGCTATGCTCAATTGATATCTATATGCTGAACTTGCACTTACCATTTCCAATGGATCTTTTGCAATGAAGAACTGCCTCGTATATTGAGCTTTCAGAATCACAAGAGTAGCGCCAATCATCAGCAGAAAAGGCTACACTAATCCGGGGTGATGTGTCTGAATAGTATCTCCTATTCTTCACAGCCTCAGCCCTTTTAGCAACACTTTCAGTACTTGATTTGTGACCCCTCAGCCTTCTATACAAAGGCCTCAAGAAATCCATGTACTTATGAAATACTCTCCTTGACAATGTTCTGCACCTTTTCAAGGAAAGGCATCTAGAAGGGCCTGTAGGAGCCTCACTCTTTGGTGCATGTGAAGATGATACTAGGCTTGTGTTGGAGTCTGAGGACTCATACTCTTCCATTTGCAATGATTCAACAAAAAGTGGCATGAGGTAGCCATTGGAAAAGAGCTCATCTGCATGGACAAGATTGAGAGGGGACTGTGAAATTGGGAAGTCAAATTTGGAGTCCTGTGAGTTCATAAAGAATCTTTTAGAGGGTGTCATTCTTGGGTCCATCTCAATGAAGGAAGCTTCATCAGATGCATCAAGGGAAGTTCTTAGGGAGTTATCTAGGCTTTCTAGTGATGGCCTCAGGTTCACTAACCAACTGTATGAGAAGCTTTCAATAGAAAGAGGTTGGGAAGTTTCCATGGCTTCTACTCTCAAGGTATAGAAGGAATCTTGGGAAGAATTGACAATTTAAGAGAAGGGGATACAAGGTGGGCTAGAGCTAGCAAAGGCAGACACTCTTCTTTTGCAGCATATCTTTTGACTTATATGTATACATATACATACACACACACCCCTTAATATATCATCTCTGTCCAAGAATTAGTCATGTGGCTGTCTGGCAAGAGACAATGAATTTTAATAATTGGAAATGAGAAAGGAAGAAAAAGAAACAGTAATGTGACCCCACCCATAGACCCATAATGTCCTGTTTCATCAGTAGTTAGCCTCACCTTTTCTTTTTAATCATTTATTGCATTAAAACTTTCATAAAGGGGTTGGTTTGTTTCTGGACTTACAGTCTCAATAACAAATCACATTCAAGAAAATCCAGGAGGGTCATGCATATAGTATTCTAATGTTGCTATAACAGGAATCCAAGAAAATTAAGCAGAACTACACTTTTCAATGTTTTAGAATGTATCCTTTAAGGTTATTTTGTTTAGTTAATTAAAACTCAAAAGTAATCAGGGGAATCTTAGCTAATTACATAACTAGTTTAAATCCTCAATGGTTATGTTATAAATCAATGTCTAGAACAATATGTACAATGTTATTGATTATACTTGAGTTTTCTGTGTTTTGTTATTGTCTTCTAGTTCTGTACCTGTAATAATATTATTTGGATGGATATGACTACTATGGAAAGGTGATTTCATCAGTCTGATATTACATTCTAACTGCTGCACACCTGCAACACCAGGCTAAACCTAAATTATAAAATATCCCATCGTACTATACTTATTGTGTGCATGCAACCTAAATGGCATCGATATGTTGCACATTTTATTGGACCATTATTGATTATTATATGCACGAGATACTCTTGGACAACATTATTGTTTCATGAAGAGAAAAAGCAGCGTACCATGGTATTCTAGTGTTTTAGCATCATGTAATGGTTTTCAACAACCAAATTAGACTAGACTCTTATTCAAGAAATTAAGCATAAAGAATACTATACTAAATATATCTAACAAGAAATTGTTATTAAAGCAAGCCAAGCCACTGAGCTATTCCAGTGGTAAATCTTTACCAGCAGGACAAATTGTCTGCCAATAATAACTGAAAGCTTTTTAAAAGGTGAGTGTCGGTAAATCTTTCCAAATAAAAAGTAGAATTTTGATTTTAAATCGTATCTTTTCTTACACGTGATAAGAAAAAGAAAGGATCACGATAGCTTATAAGAAATAGTTGATATCAGTTGAAAAACAATGCACAAAAGAAAATAATGGTAATGTTATAATAATAATAATAATAATAATAATAATAATAATAATAATAAATAGAATGAATAATAGAAAAAATATAATATAACCGAGCATTTGGATTAATAGGTTATTCCAACTTAATTAGAAAGGATTTGAACTTGAGATCATTAATTAAGCTGAAATATTTTGTGTCAGTTAATGCACGCGCTTAATGCTTCTTAAGTTCAAATTTATTGTATATAATTGTATCAATTACTTCAAGGGAAAGTCACCGCAAAAAGTTACTTCTATTTCAAATTTATTGATATTTTGACATTTTCTTTTTATTTCAAAACTTTTTATTTTATGTTTCATTAATTTCTCTCTCTATATATATATATGTGTGTGATGTGAATAGACTAAAAGTACAATTACTCCTAAATTAAAATTTTTGATTAAGATAATTAAAAAAAAAAAAAAAAAAAACTCAAATGAAATGACATGCAAAAAATGATTTAAGATGCTGGCAAAGCACTACATTACACTCTCTTCTTAAAGGAAGTCACAAATTGATAACATTATCAGTCGGCATATGTAGCATCATTGTTGTCCATCAATGAGTTCAACACAAATTTGAATTCTCACAGAACAAATATCCTGAGGTTCTCATGGGGTAAGGAAAATTTTCAGGCTTTTTATCCACTAGCAGCCTGAGTGGAGCTGCACACAAATCTTCTTAGGTTTAAATGTTAAAGAAAGATACGTCGTTTTCATCCAAAACGAGCAAACTGGTTCTGATAAGCAATTTTATGGAATTCTAAAATAGCAGACAAGGGTCCCATGAGTTGTCGGATAAAGCAAACATGAACAAAGGTTCCTGGGACAAAAGCTACTAAGCCAGGATAGTAAGTGACTTGAAACCAATTGGTCCCCTCCCTTATGTCCCCATTTAAGACAATAAGTATTTACTAGTAAATACAACACTCATTAATGCAGTCTAATTCTGAAAAGAATGTTGCACCATTCATGCAGCAGGAAGGACCCAAAGTATTAAGTGATTTTTGATATAAAAAAAAGTTAACATTTATGTACAAGAACATAGTTGCAGATAAAATTCACAAGGGAGTATAGTATCATGACAACCAGCTCAGCAGCAGGTAAAATGTGGGTATAGGCATTAGGCAAACCACATGCACTCATTCTATAACTATTTGTCATTAAGTGCCGCTCTGGGGCCAGCTTGTAAGGATGTTAAGGTTGGGAGAGGCAATCAATATATTATTGGATTCTGTATTAAATAAAGTAAACTCTGCATTTCATTTTCACTTATCCTTCATTACATTTCAGAGAATACCACTTGTGAAATATTTTTATCTTGGAATTACATTACAGTAGGCATTGAATGTTCAAATTTTCAAGATCCTTAATTTCGGTGAAGAATTGTCAAACATACTGCTGCATGTTCAGAAACACGTTTACTAGTGCTCAATCCTCATCAAGGTCAACGCTACAGAGAATAGTTTTTGCGTTTTTGACGTGAAAAAAATAACTAGACTTGTAATCAAGATGGTGTTTCCAAACACACTCCCAATGTGTTTGGTTTGGATTCTCATTCACAGTGATATCAATATTAAATTTGTAATCAAAATGGTGTCTCCAAACACACTTACTGTGTGTTTGGATTATCATTCACAGTGATATCACACACGTCACTGACACAAAAATTAGTTGTTTTTGGATTCTCCATCACAGATATATCACACACGCCACTGATGCAACAATTAGTTGTTTATGGTGTGTTTGGATGTGAGAATGGGTTGAAATTGAAACATAACATGGATCACAAATGGGGAAAAAAAATGCACTTTATGTGAGGCTCTACTAACGGGGTTACAACAAACATTTATTAGCATCGTCAATAATATTACAACTGAGGCAAGAGTGTTTAAATATTGTCAAAAGTAGCGCAACTCCACCCTACCCTTTCCGGTTTTAACTCTTCATGTGTAGCATTGAAAAGTGAAAATTTATATAAAATCTTGGTCAAGGCATAATAAGTGCACCTCAATTTGGATGACAGTGAGTGGAAAACAGTCAGAACTCAGAAGAATGCCAAAAGTAAGAAAGTAGTCATAAACTCTTTTTTTTTTTTTTATATTTTTTTTATTTCATGAGATCCAGAAATACAAAAACATTCCACAAACTATGCAACAACATTGATGGCAAGAGGTTCCTAGATCGTACAAAAACAGTACCCATCACCATGCCAAGAAATACTAGTGGTATCATCCTCTGAATGTTAAAATGTGCTAAGGCAAAAGCCATTGAGCTAACTAAGATTGCACACCATACAGGCATGTACTTGGTTAAAGATGGGAGAAGGAAACCACGGAAGACAATCTCCTCCCATATTGGGGCACAAACTGAGACTACCACCGCATAGAGGGCCATTGCCACAGGGTCTCGCGCTACAATTGATTGCTCTACACTTGAGACAGTAACCGGAGTATATTGAAGAACAGGTAACAAATTTAGGTTCATTTGTGATAGCTGATTGATAAGCGGGAACATAAGGCAGCCTAAACCAACATCAAACTGCCACTTCCCCTTAAGTTCAAATTTGAACCAGTCAGATGGAAGAGGTCGAAACTTTGCTAGACAATGACGAAGAATTGCTATGCCAACCACTCCTTCTGCAACATCAGTCAAGAGGCTGTACAATGCATGCCCTCTGTATGTAAGAGATTCCTTTCTAAACCCAGCTGTGTATGCTAAAAATGGCACTATCCAAGATCCTACAAACCAAAATGAGGCAATCCAGAGGAGCATAACCTGCAGAACCCAACTTAGTTTGTTCTTCTAAATATGATGATACTAAGAAAGAGACCAATCAAATAGACTGTATAGTTTCTGAATATTTGTCAATTTCATCCATTTTAAGAGTTCTTAATTGAAGTGGATTATAAAGAATAACATTACTATCAAATCAATAGAAATATTACAATAACTATCCAACTTTTAGAAATGAAATGAAAGTTTTCTGACACTAAAATCTTAGAGCAAGTTTGATACAGAGAATGAAATTTTGCAGAATGCGAAACCAGAATAAAGAATGAGATTGAAGTAATCAGTCCTATTCTATGCTTGGTAGCATCATGATTTCATAGGATATTTTACATTTGATACATGGAATAGGATCAGAATTGTTATCAAATAACATCAATGACTCATAAAAACAAACTATTATAATTGTTTAAGAAATAATTTTACATTTGTTCCACTTAACATAAAAAAAGAGGATGTAAATATTTTAGGCGTGGCCAAATATTTCCTTTAACTCTAGGCTGTGCTTTCCAAATGAAGATGGTAAAGTAGCAACAGGTGAAAAGATTCTATACTAATTTTAAAATATAAGACTAGTTTATTAATTTTGCAGCAATTTTTAATACTGAGACTAATATAATATCATTTTTAACCATAAATTATTATTTGCATACCAAGGAATAACTTGTATCATTTTGCATAAATGAAATTGGGTTAAAGTTGTCAAGCAATAAAATTATTGCACTCTCGGCAACTGAGAATCCTCATTCACCCCAAAAGAAAAAGCAATGAACATTCTTAGTCATGTTGAATTTAATGGCATGGTCATTTCGTGCCTTTTCATACTAAAAATTGGGGAAAAAAATTCCTAAGGTAAGGAGAGAGGAATGGAATCCTTAATCTAGAGTACAACATACTCTAAGCATCAATAACATTGCTACTAGTATCAAAATGTTAAGAAAAAATACACTTTACCTGAACAATGGTCTTTGCTGTCCAAGGCACTGTCCAGGGTTCCACACCATGAATGACAGTTATGACCTGAAATATTAAAACAATACTTTTACTTTAGACTCCCTAAAGATGTTTGAATTGTCTATGATAGAGATCTAGAGAATGATAGAGACAGAAAAGATTGATTAATAAAGAACTGAACAACTACTCTTACTATCAAGAAACCTAAGAGAATAGCCAGAGGGTAAGTTCCTACAGGAAGATAACTTCACTGTTCCAACAGAACAATACTACTTACCTCCCCTATAAACCCACTACTCACTGACCAATCCTTCTCTCCCCAGTCCTCATACTTGCAACATCACTAACTCCCATCCCAGTCAGTCCTTTTCCTTGTTCTAGAATATACTTTTCAAGTGGAAAGCTTATTTGCCTCATATCCAAAATCTGATCCACTTCACCATTTGGCTGATTGGCTCAGAGGCCCCTAGCAGTCTAAGTGTTTAAATACCTATTTACAGACAAATGGTGAAGAATTAAAAGCATATTAATGCTTGATAGTTTGATGATGTTAGAATTTCTTTCCAGAGAATGCAAATCAATTGGAAGAACCATAATGATATCAAATGATTCATGTTGGCTAAAAAACATATCAAGACACAACCTATATGATACTTACAAAATGTATGTCCTTGATTTGGTTTTAATCTAATGGTTGAAAATACATCCAAATTAATTGTAGATCCTATCATCATTAATTACCAAAGGGGAAAATTCCATCTCTTTCAAAAAGATTGGAGGATAAGTTGGTAGGTGAATCAGTAGACACATCCAATGAGAAACGCTTAAGAAGATGATGAACAATTGTAATAGAAAGCTAAGAACATTTGCTACTGGAACTTTAAATTTAAGAGCTACTGGGTTATGGACCTCACTCATTTCATTGAACTAACATACCCAACCATTTTTATGGGAGAAAATAGTTGAAATGTCAAATAGCTTATGGATCTTCATACAAGATTTTCACCTGACACGTTTGATGGAAGTTATGAAATCAGATTGATCAATTATTAAGATCATGTTGTAAAAAATAGTTTACTCAGCCTACCCACTTGGTTAGTACTTACAATAATCCTCACATAACGAGGACAAAGTTTTGTTTTATCAAGAACATCACAGAAAAAGAAAATAGGAAAAAACAAGAGTAAATCCCCATTTTAGTCCCTTAGATTGCAATAAACCTTCAATCTAGTCCCTAAGTTTGTAATTCTCAGTTACTTTAGTCCCTGACTTTGCTAAAAGTAATTCATTTTAGTCTTTTTTCACTTCATTTTATACCATCATTTTGCATGAAAAGGGATAAAAGTGAATGTCACTTTGTAAAATCAAGGACTAACATAAGAATTTTGTTAGAAAATAAAGTGACCAATACTCAGTGTCAGGGAATAGAATGCAAATTTACTTGAAAAAACAATTTAATCATTTTTCCTTGTTTACTTACAACTGAGATAAGATATTGATAATGTGAAGATAAAAAGGTAAATAGAGAACAAGTTGAAGGATAAAGTAAGCAAAAAGGTTCACTTAAAAGTTAAAAACAATTATATAAGAATAGTATGAGAGAAATGGTTTTAAATTCTAGTCTTCAACAACAGTTGCAATTGCAATGTTGTAGTTTTGGTGGTCAACACAACTACAATTGTGATCACATCAACCTTAGTTGTCTGCAATTTTCGCAACGATAGGGTCTTTAATTTATTTAAGAAAATACACTTCATATAGTAAAGACGGACCTCTAGGACTCCAGACAAAGATTAAAAGTTACCACAGGTCATTTGAAAGAACTGAAACCTGTCCCAAATCCCCACTGAATTGCCTACCTCTCTCGCGCCCCTCTCTTTGCTTAAATCCCACACGGCGTCTAAATTTATTACTTTGTTTCCCACACTTTTTACCATGTAAACAAGTTTGTTATAACCCAAACAAATCCCTCTTCTCTCCTTACTCATATTTATCACATGGTGCCAATGCACCATGGTCTAGCACAGGACAGGAGGGCCTAACATAATCATAAAGTAATCACAATGACAACTACAACTTAAAACCATGATTTTAAAACAAGATAGCATTTAAGAGGGTTTATCCTGCTTTACTCAATGACACAATTCACAATATATGTAGACACACTTCATCCATTAGATGGAAGTTAAATTGGTAAGGGGCTTTTACAGTTTACTCTCACAATTAGAACGGTGGCAATAGGTTCATGCAGTTGCTCACATTAAAAACAAGATTAACACAATCAAGACATGAGCAGGGTATAGAGAATTTAATAAATCAACACTTACTAAGAACCAAAACTTCACAAGTTCACATCTTTAAAGCAAAAGGCAGGCACCAAGATATAGCAAATGAAAAAGTTCCTTGTTTGCACTGAATAGCCAGAAAAAAGAAATGAGAGAAGTACCGTATGAATAATTGCAAGCCAATCTTTTTTCAGGTCTTTGGACTGGTCACCTTTAAGCTTCACCAAATCTTCTGACAATTTATCTTCTTTTAGCTCAGAAGCATTAGTTTCTGATGAAACATTTTCATGCCTAAAACATAAAAACCTCCATTTCTAGAATGGATACATGATTCAGGTCAGAACAATAAAATAAAAAACAAAAAAAAAAACTGAATAAGCCCTGCAAACTAACTTCACATACCAACTACCCATTTAACACATCAATCCAATTATTAAATTAAATCTCTTAAAAATATTAATTAATTAAAAAAAACACTTCCCAATTGACCCATTAGATTAAATATTAATAAAAATAATAGCTTTTTAACAAAACATGTTAAAAATCAAACTTACTTTTGTAGGAAAGGTGACGGATGATTGGAATGGAACAGGATAGGAGGGTGGGTTGAAAAGGGAAACCCTATAGTTGGAGCGAAGAGAGAGGGAGAAGGGAAGGGAAGAAATGGTGGTGGACATTGATGGCAGTGGAACACTGAAAATTGATGAACAGAGTTGATTGTTTCTCTATGCATTACAGACAGACAAAAATTGCCATTGGATTGGAGCTTCCACTCCCACCAATGAAACCAACACACCTCCAGTGCCACTGGGTTCTGCTAATAATATCATTTCTAAACCGTGAATTAACCTTTGGTTTTTTTTTTTCTTCAATTTTTCTTACCCTAAACCTTAGAAATAAATTAACGTTAATAATTATGACATCATGGGCGAGAGCACATGGTTATATAATATCCACATCTTATTAGGACGTGGCCGCTTCTGAAGGGTGGGTTGATTGATGTTGCATACTATATCATTAACATTTTTGTTACCTTTTTTCTTTTGGTGCAACTTTCTTGCATTAATCAGAAACACATTTTCATTGTACATGAATAGATTCTTAATTAAAGATTAGTACGCACTTAGCACCCCATAGCCATTATCATAAGAGAAAAAAAATCCATTTCAAGTAATTCACTGTTCAATTTAAATATAAGGCTCAGATAAATAACTAAGTTCATATAATTGCTGTAAAAAAAAAGTTCATTTAATTAAAAACACTTTAACAATAACATTGTTATAATTATCTTAATTTTGATTAAAGATTTAATTACAATTTTAGTATCACCAGGTCTCTTAACCGGTTTTGTTGATGTGTAGGTGACTATTAGCTAAGGTGGGATGAGAGATGTGGCATGCAGCAACAATCAGACAACAATTAACAAAGTATTAAAGGTGATATTTGAACCCAATCCTTATACTTTGTTTGATTTATGGAGGAAATATAAATAAAAAAAGTGAAAGAATGGAAAGTTATAAAAAAAAAATGAAAGTGAGATGATTTTTTAGGGTATTTAATTGTTTAAAAGTTAGAAAAAAAATGTATAATTATTATTTTAAAAATTAGATTAAACCATTAAATTCTATCCATTTGACTGAAAATCAATGTAACGATCGCTCTATTAACATAAAAAAAAAAAAAAAAAAAA